GAGCTTCCTTCCGGGTGCTGGGACCGGCTGAGCTTCTCTGCCCTAGGAGCCTGGGATGGAGGCGGGGAGCTTCCTTCCGGGTGCTGGGACTGGCTGAGCCTCTCTGCCCTAGGAGCCTGGCATGGAGTCGGGGAGCTTCCTTCTGGGTGCTGGGACCGGCTGAGCTTCACTGCCTTAGGAGCCTGGGATGGAGGCGGGGAGCTTCCTTCATATACTCCTAACTTTGAAATATGCGTTCATAGAATAAGTTGCCAAAAATAATAACAGAAGTAACATTTCTATTGATTCTTTTTTCTATTGATTCTTGAAGCTCTTACTTTCTTTATTGTGGAAGTGTTAAGTTGTATTTTAATTGCCATTGGTTAAAAACAGTTGTCTTCTCATACCAAGTAGCCTTAGAAATTGAAATCTTTTTTTTTTTTTGAGACAGGATCTCACTATGTAGTTCAGGTTGGCCTTGAACTCAATATGTCACAGAGATCCTGCTTCAGCTTTTCAAGTGCTGGGATTACAGGCGTGTGCCACCACACCTGGCCTTTTTTTGTTTTGTAATTAGAAAGGGACACTTAGATACAAACTTTAACTTTGCAGTAAAGGAAAATAATACCTCAGATTTGATTTAGTATTATCCAAATTAAGTTGTGAGTGCAACTCAGAACTTCCATTTTTATAGTCATTGCCTTGAATTTGTTAGACTTTTTCAGTCATTGGAATTTTCATTAGTTGTTTAGCCTTTAACCTCATTATAATGAACTTCTGATTTACTGGTGTTAAGTGGATTCCTTTTTTGTGCAGTATGACCTTACCAGTAACTTCAGTTGGTGAAGATACTGTGTGCTTATCTAATTCTGAAAGAGCTGATTCTGAAAAGTCTCCTGCTAATTTGGATCTTATATCTAGGAAGAGATTTCACTGCATGCTTGATGAAAGTGATCAAGTTCCTCCTACCAAAAAAAGTTCACTCATTTTAAGGAATGACCTGCAACAGTATACCTCTGAGGTAAGAATCGTAATACAGTGAGGTGGCTGCATTCAACAGATCTGCTTCTGTTTTTTCCTTCACTCTTTAGACCTTTATATGTACAAAGATAGTTTTGACATTATTACATTATGACATTTGATAGTTTTGTATTATTATAAGTAATACGGTTAAGGCTACTTTGGGATTATCTCTTCCAACTATCTCTGAGTGAAAATTGGTGGATATTAATCAGGAAACCTATTCTCAGCTCCGTGATGGTGGTTAAAAATAAGTCTGAAACCATCATGTTGATCTGAGTGAATTAACTTGTTTAGGCCTTTAAAAAAGTTCTTTTGGGGGCCAGGGATTTAGCTCAGTGGTTCCACTGCCTGCCTTGAGAGTGCAAGGTCCCAAGTTCGATCCCCAGTACCAAAAGAAAAGTAAAAAATTCTTTTGGTATTTGCATTAGAATTATATTAATCGGAAAGATTAATTTAGGGAAGATTGCTAATATAATTATAATATTTATAATGACACAGTATGTCTTTCCGTTTGAGTGTTTCAACTTTTATTTTTAGCTCTTATATTATTAGGGTATCCTTAGGAATTTTATCTTTTTTGTTCTTATTATTGAGCTTTTTTCTATCAAGAGAACTTTCTGAATTCCTTTATTGTGTTCAGAAATTTTTCAGTTGATTCTCTTGGATTATGTAGGTAAATAGCTATATAAACAGCACATATAATTTTGATAATTCTACTTGTTATAGTTCTAATTTCTTTTTCTTTTCTAATCATATTGGCTAATATAATTCTAAAACAATGTTAAAACATAGTACCAATAGTAGATATCATTTTCTTATTCCCAACTGTAATGGAGATACTTACATTGTTTATTGATTGGGATGTTGGCTTTCAGATTTTGATAGTTACATTTTGTGGTATTAAGAAAATGTCTTCTACTTGAGAGAGTGAGGCAAGAGGCTCCTTTGAACCCATAAATTAACCAATGTTGGCAATGTCGTGAGACTCCATCTCAAGACAAAAGTAAAAGAGAAACACCACCGGGCATGGTGGCATGTCTGTAATCCCAGCACGGAGGGGCTGAAGTAGGAGGATTGCTGTGAGTTTGAGGCCGGCCTAGGCTGCATAAACATAAACTACATAGTGAGAGGGCAACATAAACTACATAGTGAGACCCTGTCTCAAAAAAGAAAAAAAAAGCTGGATGTGGTGGCACAGGCCTGCAATCCCAGCCGTTGGGAGACTAAGGCAGGAGGAGTTGAGTTGGAGGCCAGCCTGGGTCACATAGTGAATTCAGGACCAGCCTTAACTATATAGTGAGACCTTATCTCAAAAATTTTTTTAAAAAGAGAAGAAAAAAGTCTATCCAGTCCATATTAGCTTTTTAAAAGAACAACTACTACTGTAAATAGATAAGGTTATTTTCCTTATATCTGAATTACTTTTCTAATGTTGAATCATTTTTGCATTCCTGAAACAAATTGATCATGATGTATTTAATAATCTGTTGCTGGGGATGTAGCTCAGTGGCACCGCGCCTTCCTTGCAAGCGCAAGGTCTTAAGTTCGATCCCAGTACTGGGAAAAAATAACCCCAAAATGGAGGAATAGTCTATTGATTTGCTGCTTTTTTTTTTTTTTTTTTCGGTTCTGGGGATTGAACTCAAGACCTTGTGTTTGCAAGGCAGGTGATGGCACTACTGAGCCAAATCCCTGGCCCCTGATTTGCTGCTTTTAATTTTTCATTTGAAGGGCTCAGGTATAGCTTAGTGGTAGAGCCCTGCTTAGCAAGTTCAAGGCCCTGGGTTTGGGCTCCAGCACCACAAGGAAAAAAAATCATAATATTTTGTTTGCTATTTCTCCACTGATGTTAAGTGAGACTAGTTAGTTGGTATGAATAGTATGACTGAGATAAAAGGTATTTGGCAGTTGTAGCTCTCCTACTGGGCTCTGGAATAGGGTAAAAACAGTTAGCAATATCTTTTCCCTCAGTGTTTGGTAGAATTTATGTAAGACATGTCTGACTCTAGAGCTTTCTCAGAGATAACATGTTTCTTTATAGAAAGGAAAGAAGGGAGGAGGGAATTTTAATTTGATAATGAATTTCTAAATACTTTGTAAATTTTCTTAAAACAGGTGTGCTCAAAGGAATTAAATGCTTTTGAGGAAAAAGGTGAGTGAAATAAATTTTAACATGATTTCATTTTGCAAAGTATTCCTGGTCATTTGCCTAGGCAATTTAGCTACCTAGCAAGATTCTGCCTGAAAATACAAAGGGCTGGTAGTAGCTCAGTGCAAAGGCCTGGATTCAATCCCCCATACTGCCCCCACTCCCAAATGATGGTGGCATCTTTGTAGAATGAATTAGAATTATGCAATGAAACAGTTTGATGGTTTTGGAAGTTTGTTACTTTGTTTTGTTTTGTGGTGCTGAGGATCAAACCAAGGATCTCATGCATATTAGACATAGAGCATATTCTGCCATAGAGCTACACCTTTAGCCCCCAGTTTTGGTTCTTTAAATACAGACTTAATCTCAAATGCCCCAATTTTAACTGTAAAACTGTAATGTGGTTATAGTTTCCAGCCTTTGGAAGTGTCCTAATATTCTCCCATCCATCTCCTCTCTTGTGAAAGCATTAAACATATCATAGCACATTGAAATATTAGGGGTATGTTGTATAGTATTGTTAATCAGATATTTTTGAAAGTAGGTAGGGGTGTGTGTGTGTGTGTGTTTAAGGCAGGTATACTTGTCTACTTCATTCTGCCTTCATGGAGCTAAAACATTCTCACTGGGAATAAGGCTTTAGAATCAGGTCTGTTTCCTAAGGGAAAATGGCTTGTTTTTTTTTTTAAACTTAATAAGGAGTTTCTGGGCCGGGTATTTAGCTCAGTGGTTTCACCACCTGGTGTGCAGGTGCAAGGACACAAGTTCGATCCCCGGTACCAAAAAAA